AAAGAAAAAGAAAAAGAAAAAGAAAAAGAAAAAGAAAAAGAAAAAGAAAAAGAAAAAGAAAAAGAAAAAGCCTGGAAGAGTTGATTTATAAAGGGAATGAGCTGTAAGATAATGTGCTTGGACTGGCTAAGCTGAGGCAGGTGTGAGAAAAGTGGGTGGCAGCCAGCAAGCACCAGAAACAGCCCAGGCAGTGAGAGGGAAAAGCACAGCCTTCCTGGTGAGAGTGAGACACACAGAAAGTGCATGCTAAGTAGGAGTGCCAGGATGACATTTGAAAAGGGGAAAATTTAGGCTGAGCATCAGGAAAAGCTTCCTGACAGTGAGATGCGTGCACTGGAACCATCCCGCGGGAGAAGCCCTGGAAGCCTCATCACTTGGCTCACAAGGACCGAGCTGGAGGAGAGCTGCAAGTCCTGGAAAGGCCTTATCCAGAGCTCGCTAAAAGTCAAGAGCAAGGCTTGGACTAATTATGGGAAGCCTGCCTCAAAGACAAACTCCACAACCAGGAATACTGTGCAGGAAGAGGGGAACTCCCCATAGGTAACTGGGTGGTAGCAGATTCCAGGCACAAGCATCACTCTCCCCACGGGAGCTGAGAAAAAACCAGGTGAGCATGGTGGGAAAATAGATGGGGAAATAAATAATCCCTTCTCCTTTAAGGCAACATTATCTCTCAGAGAATAGTTGCTCTGCTCTGGCCAAGGCACAGGCAGCTAGGGCTCAGGCTTCTGTTAGTCTGGGCCCCTGGGAAGGCCAGCTGCCAAAAAAGAGGGAAATTTTGCTTTAGTCAGGGGATAGGGCATGGGTACATTGGGAGGGAAATGAGAGTGAGGTAGCTTTCCACAGGAGACCAAGGGAAAGAGGGGAGACAGGCACTGTGTCTCTGGATGTGTAACAAAACAAGAAGCCCATCAGAACAATTGGGACTGGGGGAAGGAGGTAATGGCTGCACGCAGAAGCCAAGGCAGAGAAGCTTCAGGAATGATGCCATTTCCCTCCTATCAAGAAGAAGTCTTGTCCAAAGGAACTCATATTAAGAACAGCCAGGGCACTGACTCCATCCCCAGGGCTCACTGAGCCACCAGCCCTCTTTTGTCACAGGAGGCAGGAGGCGATTTCCCCTTTGGGGAGGCAGAGTAATTTCACTTGCAGGGGACTATCTCTGTGCCCCATTCCTGGGCATGTCGCTTGGCCAGCTGTGCCCAGCCAGGCCAGGTGGACCCTCTCTGTCGTGGCACATGGAGAGCTACAGCATGAAACCCCAGAGCTGTGAGCTAAGATCACAGGTGACATAGTGTGAGCTGAACATCATCCCACCAATTCCAGTGACCTTACTGGGAGCTTATATCACAACATCACTTCCACAGCATGAAACTGAATTTCAAATTCCGATCCCATGTGAGCTTGTTCTACCTCCAAGGATAGTATTTCAGTGCCAAAGGTAGCCACATAGTCATGCAGGAGATAGTCAGGCATGGGCAATTAAAGCAATAACTGGGCTGTGCACACAGCAGCCCTGGGAATGCCTGTTGCGTGTGCCATCCACCTCCCATCCCAGCTTTTACTGCTGTGTTCCTTTATTCAGAAACACTGCCTTCTCCATTTAAACAGCAAACCCAAGAGGGCAGGAAATGACAGCCCATGCTCTTGCCAAGCCAAAAGAAACGGACCTAAAGTGGAAAGCCTATTTTAAGAGTAAAGTACAATACAAAGAGGTTGCACTTATTTCCAGACCAAGCATTACAAAACCAGGGAATTCAGAGTTAAAGTTATGCTTAAAATAAATTCAAACTTGTTGAAGTGTGGCAGTGTGCAACCAAGGCATACAAATAGCCTTAATTCTGCCATGCACTGACACAGCCGTATGACTGTGATTAATATGTTTTACTACTTGTGTTCCTAAACTAGATTACCCTGATAGATACATTTTTTTTTCATATTCCCTTGTTTTTCCCTCCCCCAACAACCCTGTGCCCCAGATATTGCCACTAGCATAGATTTCACTGCCTACCAGGAAAAAAAAAAAGATATATATCACAGGTCCTTCACATCTGTAATGGGAGCCCCAGGCTAAGTATTGTCTTGGAAATACTCTCCCTCCTACCCTCAGATCTGCAGCCACCCCTGCCCAAGGCTCTGAAGAGCACAACTGAAATGTACACCCAGTCCTGCTGAGGAGAAGGAAAGGGCTTTCTTCACACCTTTGATACGACTGTCATCTACACTCGTATTTATTTTACAAACCCATTAAAACCTTGCGTTTAAAGTGTAGAGAAAATAAAAGAGACAAAGAAGCATCATCTGGATAAACAATTATGGCTTTTTGTCAAGGATTCAGGAGCTAATCGAGTCCAGATCTGTTCCACATTCACATTTACATGTGAAATTGTACTTACTGAGCTAGAAAAAGTCAGATTAGCATCAAGAGTCAGCTCTGTCCTCATCTACACAGTGCAAACTCTGTGGAGTGAATGGAGGCTCCCAGGGTGTAACAGAAGGCAAAGTTTGGCCCCAAATACTTACAGGCCATGCAGCTGAGATGCACATGAAAGTGGCTGCTCTGCACTTCAGCCCAGTTTGAAATGACTCTCCAGAAGTTCTATTTACTTAAGAGTGTGGGTGGCCTGACTTGTCACGATGCGTTTAAATATTTGGCACTAAATCACAGCTGTCCACTTATTTGCACTTTTGCTGCTGGGCAGCAGGAACACCCCTGGAATTAGTCAGCATGAGATGCATTAATGAGCTAACACATATATTATGGTTTACATTTTGGACTTCTTTTGTTCACATAAATACACACCTACTCTCCGCTTCTTTCCCAGCACAGCGTATATTCCTGAACATGTTGACTTTCCAAGCTTTATTTTATTTGGCCTTTATTAATGAGCTTGCAAAGTTTTCTGTAATGGAGAAAAGCACCTTGCCCCTAGCAGCCTTTCTGTGCATTACATGCAATCCTGAAGAGACTCATTGTGCGAGGAGAAATCTTCCAGCCTCAGAGAAGTTTTTCTTCACAAGCCAAAAGCCATCCTCTGCATGTAAAGATCCCAAGTAAATATGGAACCAATAACAACCATGAGCAAAGACCTTTGCATACGGAAAATATTTACAGAGTCCGTGTTACAAGTCACTTTGGCTGGAGGAAAATGCTTGCACTTTTGCTGTGCAGAAAGCAGGCAATCTTTTGTACAAAAGGAAAGAAAATCTTGTTATCTGGGTTAACACTCCCCCAATTCATCCATACCACTTCTTCACTGCCAGTAACCTTTTATAAATCACAGATATAGCACAGGTCATGATTTAATAACTCACCAACAAACTGTGTCCCATTCAGTAGGACTGCAAGGACTGCAACTTGTATGCCTAATGGATGCTAATTGCAAAATATAATCATTTTTTATTAAACAAAATAATGGAGATTTTACCAGGGTAATGCTCTAGCATGGAATCAATGGAAGCCAGTTTTTTTGTGTGTGAATAAAACAGTTTTTCATTAAAAAAAAATGCTTATTTGCTAACACCAAAGTTTCTTGTGGGAATACATCACTTTTATAATTTAATTTTCATCTGGAAGATTTTTCAGGTCAAAAATGGAATTTCTGGTCAGAATCATAGCAGGGAGGAACACACAGGAAGCTGGGCTCTGAACTGAGCACAGCCGGACCTCTTTTTTGCTCATTTTTGGCCATACTTCTCCAGCACCATTTCCCGGTTTTCACTCCAGCCCCTCCCAGGAGCAGAAGGTGCAAAACCACAGACTGAAAGCATGGGCCCACTTTGCAATTGTATTTTCCGGGAAGCATCCCCAAATGGGTTGTTGCCTTCAGCCAGAGGACCACGAAGGAGCAACCCCAATGCCAGCAGCCACTCACCCACGCAACAGGATCTGGGAGAGGATGTCTGGCTATATCTGCCTTCTCCTCCATGTGCAGGAACTCACTATATCAACCGAAAGCACCTCTGGTAAAGGCATAAAAGCACCCTCTTCCCTGGGAGGTTGCACAGCTTTATCTGCAGCAGTGGAAGGAAGCGGGAGAGCTGAGCTGCCAGCAAGCCTCCCTACCCTCATAGCCTGATTCACCAGAAGCCCGGCTGCTTTTTGCCACCATAATGACCACACACCAGAGCTGCAAACCTGGTTTAACTGGCCAGTTTGTAACACTCTTGTGTCCACAGAGTGGTACCAAATAGCTGGAAGAGGCTGGTGAGCCCCTCCATGAACTCCTCTGCATTGCATACCGCAGGCAGGCTGCTGCAGCAGAGGTGGAGACTGAGCTGTCACCAGCCACAGTGCACAGCCGTGTCCTCCATTCACCTTAAGGACAAGTCAGAAGCGGTTCAGCTCAGCCGCAGCAGTCAAATGAGTCTGAAACACTTTAAGGAGGGATCAAAATCACATGTGCGCATGTGCGTGTGTGGTTTCACAACACCTCCCTCTCTCCACCACCAGCCACACCAGTTTCCTCAAAGCAGAACAGTAGAGGACAGACCCGTGGTGCACTAAAGCCTTGTTTTTCCCACTGCTTAAAGAACTGACCCAGCCCCCTCAAATGTTCCCAGCATATTTGAATCGTGAGTCAGAGACCACAATGGAGATACTTGCCTAGCTTGACAAAGTTTTAAGTACATCCTGCCAAATAGCAATCACTGATTTTTTGCTCTGTCACTCATGAGCCCTCTTCCTGCTGCCCTAACCATACAAAATGCACAGCCTCACTGGGGAAGCAAGGATTACCGTTTGGATGTTTACCTGTACCACTTCCAACTTCTCATGGTCCCTTTCATGCAGAGCGCTGCCAACAGACCAGATGGAAACTTGCAGGTATTGAAAGCTCATATCTCTGTATCCACTGTGGAAGCAGTAAAGATAGAGGATGGAAAGAATAGCAGCAGTACTGAAAAGCGAGGCCAGGAAACACTTCATCTTTACAGGCAGGGCCTAACATTTAAAAGAAATAATTATTCAAGAACAAGATTTCCACAGACTTGTCTAGCACCTCATTTAGCAAAACATCCTAAGGCTTAGGAGTTAATCTGTGATGGACCTTCACACCCTTCATTGGGCTGCCACTATTGAGGTAAACCTTGGCAAAAGGGAGCAACCAGGAGTAGGAAGCACCAACCATGTCTTTCCTCATAGCTAAAGCCGCTGCCTGTCAGGAGTTAGCATCCAAAGTGATAAAACAATTTTTCACTCTTTCTTTTGCAGTGGCAAAAGGCCTCAGCACCAAGCAGGGCTCTATTTCCTCCCCCCACTCTGGCATATCATCTGAACAGTTCATACAGCCATGCTAGGGGCAAAAAGATTATTATTGTACCATAGGTCACACTCATTTCCTATTTGTAAGTTGCCCTACACAATCATGACTGTTAGAAAGCTTTTTTCTTAATTAGCTGCCCCCTCCCCTGCCCCTTTTTCTTCCATCAAAAGCCAAGATTCTCACACGATCCCAGCACTCTCGCAGAGAGGCACAAGGGCCTCAAGGAAATCCCCCAGTATCACAGTGCAAGGCTTGATCTGCAGCAAGGAGAGCTGGCAGCTGTGCAGTGCACCTCAACATGCCAGCTGTTGCTCCAGTGGTGGAGCCATGTTGGGAGGAGTCCGAGTACCAGCAGCTGAGAAGAAAAGTCAGACACAACCAAACCCTCCAATGTCATAGGAAATCAAGGCTGTGTGTGTGTATGTGTGTGCACTTTACTTTTCTTTTTTTTTTCCACTGCAACTAGACAATATTTCTTCAGAGCATTCATGCTCATACTTGTACCAAGAAATCCTTGCCATTATCTTCTCCATCGCCTGGGCTACAATGCAGGGAGCAGCCTGCTGTTATCCATCCCTGTTGTCTGGGGTTTGGGACAGCTGTGCTGCAAGGCTGGAGGGATGGGGGAGTTTCTGGGCTCTGAGACGTACAAGGAGGAGAGAGATCATTTTGTGTGCTGCTAATCTGTCTCTGCAGGAACACTGATTTTCACCTCTGTAGCACCTGCCATGGGGAGCTTCAGAGTGGGACACAGGAGCAGAAGAAAAATAACTTCAAGAAAGAGTTACTCCCTTCCTTATTAGTTAATGCTTGCCAAAAAAAATGATACAGAGGTAGGGAGTTGAATAGGTCTTAGCGGACTTCACATAACAGATGAAAACATCACACTGACATCTTTCTCTTTTCAGAAAGAAGGAAGCTTTGACTGAAGCTGTCTCCAAAGCCCTAGATAGCAATCCAGGAGCTCAAGGATGTTCTTCCCAGCTCCATCTCAGGCTTGAAATTTCAGGACCATGGTGTCTTGCTGACAAACCTGAGCCACGCTAAGCTGAAGATAAAATACTAGTGATAGTTTCAAACTTCCCTTTTCCCCCACCCGAGCACTCATTGCTCTGAGCTGTGCACGTGTACTGGCCTCTCCCAGCTCGGCCCTGGTGACAGGGTGATACATGGCCCAGACCTGCACTCCCTGAATGCCTCACAGGCTTTCATCTAGCACAGAGCTAGGCACTGGAGGTGCATAAGAGGGAGCAAGAAAGAAAAAGAAGCTGTTGCAATGTGCAACAAACACAGATCTTAATATGGATTTCCTCCCAGCTGAAAGAAAAACCCTGTTGTACAGCCACAGTAGGTCGGACCAGCTAGTGCAGGGGGATGCAATGCATTTTTAGAGCACACTATTCTGGACGACAAGCTTTGGAAAGTGTTTCTGGAGGCTGAACCAACCTCACAGTGCTGGCCCCAAAAATATTTAACACGTGCTCTTCTTAAAAAAGGCATTTTAAAGAAGTCTGGAGTTCAATCTGAATGCAAGCAGTTTCTTTCAGCTCTCCATCCTCAGAGGCAATGCAAGCAGATTCAAGGGGCACAAGCTGGCCACAAGCCCTCAGCTTGCTCCTTAAGCCAAAAATAAAGAATATGGCTGCAAAAATCATTGCATATTCACCTTGTAAGTTTCTAATGGTGTTTCTCGGAGCAGTGGCCACCACTAGTGTGCACCACAGTGCTCTGCCTGGTATTGTGCAGCCACCATGCCATCAACTGGGCTGTGAGATTGCCAGCTGTTGCTCACAATACAAAATCTGGAAGAGAGATGGAACCTGAAACCAGGGAAGGTGTAAACAAGGGGTAGCAGCCTCCCACAGCAGAGCAGGATAGGCTGCCCACCAGGAGTACCTTCAGTACTTTGGAGAGGACAGACTTTCAGTACTTGGCACTCAGAAACCTTACATGAGCACATGCATTTGCACAATGTGCAATGAAACACTGGCTCTGCTCTTTTGACAAGGGCATGTAGTGATGGGACAAGGGGTAATGGCTTTAAACTGAGTAAGTTTAGATTAGATATTAGGAAGAAATTCTTTACTGTGAGGGTGGTGAGGCACTGGAACAGGTTGCCCAGACAAGCTGTGGATGCCCCATTCCTGGAAGTGTTAAAGGCCAGGTTGAATGGGGCTTTGAGAAACCTGGTCTAGCGGAAGCAGTCTCTGCCCATGTCAGGGGGGTTGTAACTAGATGATCTTTAAGATCCCTTCGAACACAAATAATTCTGTGATTCTATGATAACACACACACCAGCTCCTTACAGCTAACATTCAGACCTGACGACTCCAGAGGCCTAAAACAGGGGATGCACCTCTCTCCTACCCCTGCTAACTCACAGCAGCTACGAGGGAGGAAGCAGCACATATCCCCACTCAAATCCACTCCTGGAACCCATATCACCAGCAAACCACCAGGCTGTTACACCATTACAAGTGGGCTTGGCAGAGCAGCCTCCCCAGCCAAGGTAAGGTTTGTATCAGGGGCTAAAGATCAAACTGTATCTATCTCTGAACACACCTTTGTTAGTTTTGGCTGCACCCTTTCAGGTATCACCAGTCTCCCCAGGCAAACACATTCCTATCCCAAGTGCCCCAAGCCTGCCGTGCTCCTCCAAGGGCTGCGTTCACCTGCCAGGTACCTGTGCACCTACTACATCCACAACACCAGCCAGTAGCCAAGGAAGGACAGCCCCGGGAATAATGTAGCTGCAGCAAGCATGTTGCAGGGAGCAGAGGAAGGAGCTGGAAGCAGATGCATGGTCAGGCTGCTCTTTGGCTTTGCTGGAAACAGGAGTGGAAAGCTGGCACCGACATCCAACCACCCCAACAAACATTGCATTCATATGCAGAGCTACAGAGAAAACGATCTGTCAGTTGTTCTTCTGGAGAACAGGTTTCACCAGCCCGGATTAAATGATTACGTTGCCACAGCATGTGCTTCTTGCTGCTCTTGGAGATAAAGGAAGTAAGGCACAAGGAGCCTTATGGGAGAGAGACCTGACCCTGCAACCCAGCTCCAAGCACCTTTATGCTTGGAGAGAGTTTGAACCAGCACAGAGCACTGGGGAATGGGGAGCAAGTGCATTTAAAGGCAGAATTTTGGTGCTGATGCACTGAAATCACTAATGCAAGAAAACACCTCATTTGATCGAAAACAGAAGGCGCACACTTTCCCTCCAATTACTGCCTCCAGATGTGCACCAGACTGGCTGTATTTCTGAGCCTTCTGCTCCTTGTTCCCACAAAGTTTAAGGCAGAGTGAGTGCAGTTGGAGGTCTAAAAGCACATGTGCAGCAGCAACAGGCTCCACCAGAGCCTGCGTCCTGCCTTCACAAAACCCCTGTTGAGTGACTCCCTTAGGATGTAATTGCAGTCGACTTCATTCCAGGCCATGAGCATATGTCTGGCTACGGACACTACTGCAAGCACACGAGGAAAAAAAAAAGAAACATAAAGGAGAAAGTGCGAAACTACACTCTGGTAATCCAAGCCCAGTTAGGATAAACGGGTGTTTCCCTCCACAAAAAAAGGTTACTTTGCTACCTTTGGCAGTCTGGCCAGCTTCCCTGAATTAGTATTTTGCAAAGCAGAAAAGAAAGGCTGACACCAGTTCAGCAGACTCAAAAATAAAATATTGCACCAAACCCATGGGCCCCAGCAGCACACCCTGAATCCCTCTGGAGCACATGTGGGCAAAAAGCAGATGCCCAAAGAGCTAACACAGCAATTTTAGGACTCTTACAGACTTCTGGGGGCTTTGAACCCTTGAACTAGGGATCCCAAGGCATCTTTCTCCACACTGTGGCCTTTCATGGATCATCAGAGCTCACCCCAAGTCCCCATCTCTCAGAGGAGTATGTGTCTGCAGTGGGGGCAGTGAAAGGTTCAGGGTCAGGGATGCAGTCACAGCACAGTGTGGGCAGCAGGAGGTGGAGCCACCACCCTCTGCACCCACTGGGTTTCACAAAATGAACAGTAGCAGCAGCACTATTGCTTTCATATTTGCCTTTGTTTTTCCCCCAGAAAGAGCAAACCTGTGCATTGGTCCATCTACTGCTCAGGAGCTGCACTGCTCTGAGGAGAACTCCCTACAAATAGCCTGCACCAAGCACCCAGCACTCTCAGCTCAAACAGTTGCAGGCTGGCAAATCCCTAAGCTATCAAAGTAAGGTCTTATCAATGGGAAGTTTGAGACAGACCTAAGCAACACTGAGCTGTCCTTCCCACATCAAGTGGCCATGAAAACACATAGGATTTGTCCAGCTGGGATGGCTCCCAGTCAGGCATTTACATTTATGGCTCATGGTTTTTAAAAATACATCCCAGTGCATGTACGCATGTACTCCAAGATACACTTACATCCACAAGCACATGACCCAGGAGATGGGTTTGAGCTGAAGTGACTCAGCCTCCTGGTTACAGGAACAAAATTAGCAACCACTCATAAACGTCTTATGTCTTAGATGGGGCTAGATGGCACTGTAAGTTAGTTAATGTCCTTTGCCTCAGGAGATTTCACTTTGGCATTATGATCAGTGGAAAACCAGGAAAGCTGCTGCTCCCTAGGGTATATTTTCCAGAGCTGGGCTAGTAATTCACTACAACAGCCTGATTCAACACATTTTCTAGGTACCTAGTTAGGAGCTGTATCCAATAATTTAGTCATCCTTTGGAATTTACTTCTTTTTTTTTAACAAATAATTTTTGGCTTGCCAAGATTTAAACATATGTTTTCCCCCAATACTTGGCCTACATTTCCCCTGCTTTAATTTATCCCATTACTCCTTATTAAGCCCTGCCCCCCTACCCCGTTGTTCCCATGCTGGATCCCTCTACCTCTCCCAGGAGAGCAGTGATGAAATGACATTTGCCTCCCAGACCTCCTGGCACATCACCCATTCTCTTCAGGGTCAGCCCAGCGGGGCGGAGAGCCCTCTGGCCTGGAGCACTCAAGGATGCACAGCTGAAACAGAGCAAGGCAAAGCAGTGGAGGGAGGCAAGGACCAGGCTTGAAGGAACAATGCCTGGCTGTATTCAGGTTAGAGCATTCCAGTGCCACGGCCTCGAGTCACTGCCTGAGCTGGTTAGGAGATGAACGAGTAAGGATCTGCCCTATTCTCACACCCAGACCTTCCAGAGTCTCTGCACTCGAGCGAGCACTCTGTGGCTAATGGCACCGTGCCACCGTGTGGGGGGGGGGAGGGGGACATGCCGTCTCAGTGCAGAACATCTGCCTCTGGGGCTGGGAAGAGGATGGTCACCTCTTTAACAGAGACCCTATCCATCACATCTAATACTCAGATGGATATCTCTCTCCCATCATTTAACAAAGGGAGCAGCCCTCTGGAAAAAAAAAAAAAAAAAAGAAAAAAAAACCCCAACACTTTTCCCAGCAGAGGATCCCATCAGCTCCCCATCAGCCTGGGTCATTCGTGCTTGTGAATCTGCCTCCCCGTTCCTCAAGTAACAGATTAGTCACGTACATTTGCAATGGCAGCAATTCTGCCAAATAGCTGAGGAGCGGGGAAAGAGGAGAACAGCAACATGAGAAAAACAGGCAGAGGAGAGGAGATGAGAAATAAAATGTCTTTTCCTCTTCTCCCATGCTCCTTTGGTTTTCAACAGCGTTTGCATTCACAAGCTGCTGAACAGCTGAATCACATGCTGCAGGTGAAATCCAGGCGTTATCTAGCCAGAGACTTGGACAACCCTTTCTCTCCTCTTTTGCCTCTGGGCTGGCAGGAGCACTGCCCAGCAGCCAGAATACTGACAGCTCCTCTGAGGTTGGGACAAAAAGCCTTCCTAAATACGAACAATGTTTGGCAACTGGGAAAAACTCTCACTTGAGTTCCCGTCTTCTCAGTGATTGACAAATGCCAGACCCTGCAGGGCTGACATAGGCTCCGGGCTGCAAAGTGTCCCACTTAGAGGCAAGTCAGTCGGAGGGGAAAACAAACAGGCTAAAGGTATCCAAAAATCCAGCTCCTGATTAGTACGTGGCTTACTGCAAATAGTTACTTCCTTCTTTCAATAACACGCATGAAAAATCACCGTTGTCATTAGAGCAGCAGCGCGTGGAGCCTGTAAGCAGGTCATACAGCTCCTCTGTGCTGTACATGCTTGTGTCGAACTGCCCCTGTCCCAACACGCTTTCAGCTACAAATGCCCCGACAGGTAACAAAGAGCGAGAATCAAAGCAAGAACACCTGAGTGATCCAGTAACGGGGAAAAAAAGTGCAGGCTGTTTCGGGTCATCTGATTTGTGCACACATTCCCAGACACTCAGTCTTTTCCCTGTAGTTCAGGGAAATTCTAAATGGGCAGCATGGCCTGGAGAGACTGTAAAGAGGAGAAAAGAAAACTAGTGCCTGGGGGAAAGCAGATGAGCTGGTTTTCAAGAAGAGCGTTACTACTGCAATAAGAGATAGGGACATACGTAGGCGGTCCCTGTCCTGGTAATAAATAACAGCTACAAAACTCTTATTAACCTCTGTAAAATATGTTGGTTCTGCCAGTTCATCCATCACGAAGCTATCTGTCACGTGTCAGCACTGCAGTACTCACTTCAGCTGCCCCAAGACAGAAAATACAGCAGGCCGGTCGCAGCATCCCACATACCAGTCAAGGAAAGTCACAACTGCAAAGGACGCATCCGTGTTATGATAAACTGATGCTCCCCTCTTGTATCCTCTGCATTAGGGGGCAGTTCTGAAAAAGGACAATAAAATACAAGTATCACTTCTGAGACAGGAACTTCACTGTAACAAAAATATAAAAAAAACCCCTCAGGAATCTTCTACCTTTTCTTCCTACGAACAAGCAGCCATGGGTTTTGGCCTGAGCATCTGGCCCAGTGCATTCACCTGCAGTCCAATGCAAGCCTGGCTGGTCCCATTCATCAGCAGGGATGGGAAGAGCCAAGTCCCTTCTCCTTTCCCCATCCCACTTCACGGAGGGGGATTCAAGAAACAAGTGGCCTGATACTGCTGAGAGAAGTCCTGTCCCATGCGTTGCCAGGCTTCCCCCACTGTTCCATTTCAGAAACAGCATGGGGAGGAGGGAGAAATGGATAAATCAGAGCTCTGATATCTGGCACTACACCAGGACATAGATTAGACTACTCAATCATTTTAATTGCTATCCAACAGTAATAATCTATTTAGGCAATTTACTCTAAAACATGCATAGCACTTTGGTCTGTTTATAATGTTAATTGGGGAGGTCCTGAACCAAACAACCACCCTGGATAGCAAAGCTGTGTATTTGGGGGGATTTGTTTGGTTGGCTATTTCCAGAACTGCACTAGCATAATGTTTTTCTTAGCTTTTTGCTTCAACATATATATTTTTGTCTGTTTACTTGGCAATCTCATGTACTTGGCAGAGAGAAAAAAAAAGCAGAGCAGTAACCGAAATTACACACACTTCCCCATGCAACACAGGGTTATTCTTCCATGTCTTGTTCCTGCCCAGCATATTTAATTTTGTACTCCTTTGACTTGGATGCTCAGGAAGGATGCCATTTTTAGAGTTACCAAACCCAAGTAGCTGGAGATACATAAATGAGGAGTATGTCAAGACCTAAGGGGAACCAATGGTTTTACTAGGTCATCAGTTAACCCACATAGACAGGAGTGCTGGGTGTCGGTGAAGGAGACAATCCAGCTCCAAGAGAGACCCCAGCATGGGGAGTTTCATCCTCCACAGAGGCACTTTGCTCTCCCTTAAGGAAGATGGGACATCGGAAAGAGTTCATTCCCCTCCATCCACACTGTTACCACCTCTGTTATTGCAGGTAGGCCCTGGTAAGGATGTGCTGAGTATGCAGAAGCTATTGCCTGCCATATACTGAATAAAACCACAGGGAAAAAGATGGAGAAGCCTCTGCTCTGGCTGTGTCCATCCCACATGTCAATAAGCAATAAAAACAGGGCACTGAAAAATAAACCTCACTGCTTCAAAAAGCTCCCAGGAGCGTATCTTCAGTGGTATCATATTTTTCCTGCCTCTTTCTGATCCTTTTTTTACTGTTGAAGTTGACATCTTTTTCCTCTTGCTGAACCAGCATTTCCTGACAGCAAACCATAGTCAGAAATTTTCCATCCAGCCCTCAAGTGGATTTCAACATTCAGTGCTTGTGCATGCTTATGAGAAGACGTTAATGTCAATCTCAGAAAATTATCTACAGGATGTGCAAAAGGGTATCACCAATGAGGAGCATCACCTGCATTTGGGGAAGTTCAGACACTAGCTAGTTTCTTTGCCTCAAAACTGGTGTCAGCTCTTCTCTGCTCACACCTGTAATGGTGATCCTCGTTTGCATGTTTATTGCCCAACTGACCTGTCACTTGGAAAAAATCCTTCCACAGGGAACACTGCCTTTCGTGACAGAGCATATCCCCTTTCAAACACCCCAGGGACATTCTGATGGTTTTAAAACCAAACATTTTGGAGAAGAGCATTGCTCTCCCAATAAACAGCAGTACAGACAGGCCTCAGAAGCCAAACAAGCAAGACAGGAGCTTGTGGGAGGAGATGGTAATAAATACAATAGCCAGCTTCTTAATCACCATTCCCAATGCCTGATAATCATTACCTTGTCACAGCTGCCCTGGTCATAGCAGTGACAGGACAGCTCTCCCCATTTGCAGGACTTTACCCAGCGAAATCTCCTCAGGGATGAACAAAGACTTAAGTGTAAGCACACCTAAGAACTTTTAAAGAAGTTGGAAAAGAAATATCTCCTGCTCTGCCAGAGAGCCATCAGTCACAAGGCAGCCCAGGAACAGCAGCCTCCAATCTGCAGCAGTTGGACTTCAGCAATCCCAATAGTCAAGGCTTTTTTGGGAGTAGGGATGGACACAGTGAAAACCAGCCTGTCCCACTCAGAATTTCTGCCTGCAGGGCACTCACGCCAAAGCTGTCTTAATATGGTTTTAATGGCAGTCAAATGACAAGCAAGGCATCATTCCCTTCAAAGCCCAGCACTCCTCCTCCACTAAGATATCTACAACTGCTATCATCAGCTTAAGGGGCAATAACTTCACCAGGACACAAAGCTGGTTTATGAGGGGGAAGGGGCAGAGTTAACCCAAAGTCATTAAACCACCCACTGTCATCAGCCAGCAGCTCTGAGCACACTCGCAGGGAGGCAGTGGAGAGACACAACATCCCAGCAGCATGTCCGAGAGAGGATGCGTTTTCTAAAGGACGCAGCTGATTCATCTCTGCACTTAAAAATCTCGGGCAGTTTCAGCTGCAGAGGCCTGACCTGCTTGGCATCCAGCCGGCCGGCATCAGCTGCCTCCTGGAAAAGGGAAAGAAAAAATAAAAAGCTTTCAAATTACTGAGTGGGCAGAGGAATTGGGAGGTGGGGAAAGGAGCGAGTGTGGGGAGAAGGAGGTGGGCTTGCAGGCTCTGGTTGAGTAACAGGCTAATTCCACCCTGCTCCCTGACCACGACTCCATCTAATTACCCTGTTTCCTCTGAGCTGATTGGAAAGTGGCCTTGTGTCTGGAAAAGGCAGTAAGCATCTTACATGCATCTGTTCCACCTAATCCCTAATAACTAGTGCCTGTGTGTTCCGGGAGAGGAGGAGGAGGTGGGGGAGGACAAGCAAGGAAGGGTTTCCCATGTACACTGCCATGTGGCAGTGGGCAGGGCAGCCCTGTTGCCTGGGCCAGGGGCTTTCAGGGAACTAACACTGTTCCTCTTCTGCCCGTTTCACAATCTGGAGGCCCTTTCCTCCTTCCCCTTGCAATAATAACAAATTTTATTTAAAAAAAAAAAAAAGAGAGAGAGAACTAGGACTGGGAAGAACACATTTTGCTGAGCCTCGCTGCAGTTGGGATCTGTTTAAGCCACTCGTTTTCCCCTTGCCCTAATCCTACATTATCCTTTAGGCATGACGTGCAATTCCTGAAGGGGGGTGGGAAGCACTCTCCAGGGCCCTGCATGGTTTGCCCAGGAATTTGGATTGCACTTTTTATGTGCAGCTCCGGGAAGGGGCAGAGGGATAATTATGCAGCCATTTAGTAGCCAGACAGGCACATTTTCAGCGAGCTCTTCCTAGTGGGAGCTAGTTCAACGCGAGGAAAGTGCGGGGATAAACAGCTCCATTTGCCAGTAAAAGGATTGTCACATCTGGAATTTAAACAAGTTACGAGGAGCCAGAAGCCACTATTTTGTTTCGCTCGCACGGTGTCATAAAACATGTTAGCACTTTAAAAGTGTTGCAAGGCAGATGGACACAGGACAATGACATCTCCCATAACCCTGCCATGTCCTTGCGATGGCAGGGGACACCGGACTCAGGCCCACATCTTGCTCAATGCCCTCAACTTTGTTCCAGCCCCTGGGAAGGGAGGCTTTTGGCCTCCAACACAACCAGCTGGCGTCACATCTCCACATTATAGCCTCGGGAGGCTCCCAGCTGGGAGAGAGGCATGCTGTGCCCCCCTTGCACACCTCATGGGGGATGCCAGCCTTCCCCCCAGGCTCAACCCACATGGAGGAGGACTAAGTAACCAATCACTTAAAACCAATTTCAAAAAGGTTGGCTGTGCCTCTGTGGGGTGTTTATTTCCAAGAGCTTTCCACATTTATCCAGCCAATTTTCCAGTGTTTTGCTTTGGGATTTTTGCAGTTGCAAGCTATGAGTGCTCCTACTGCAAGAGCCTCCTTGCTCATGCCTCAGCACACCAATGATGCCAGAGGTGATAATGAGTCCCAGAGGCTGAGATGCACCTGGTTCCCACAGAAAGCCCTTGTCCTCACTCCAACAAAAACACTGGGAAGCATCCTGCAAAAGAATGGTGGATACAGACGTCCACAGGCTAGACCCATCCCATCCAGTAATGGTGGACATAAAAATTAAGAGGAAGAAAACTGAAGTCAATGGCATTAGCCATTTCACCTTTGGCGCTTCAGATCTGCACACAGGCCTTAAGGATGAGCAAGGCAAAACCCAACAGTCCACCTTTCCCAATTTACTTTTTCTCTCATTTTGTGTCATGGAGCAGCGGTTACCCAAGAAACCTGCTGCCCACTGACTTTCAAGAAGGACCGAGCCAAACTGGGTGAGAAAACAAGTATGAGCACAAAAGTCATCTCTCATCCCATCGTGCTGGTTGTGAAACACTGTACAGAGGTAAAGGCCTGCAGGTTATCATGTAGAAACCTGGCTGTGATTTATATCTCCTCCTCACCCTCCCTCCAAGGGACAAAGTGCTGCCTTGGGGAGGCTCATGTCACTCTGCAGAGGACTGGAAGCATCACTGCTCACTATGCTGTTTGCTGGTGGGGTACAATCCCAGCTTTTGTGAGTCATCCACCTAGCCCATCCAGTATCAGATCCACTGCCTGGAGTCCCACCAGCACTCACATGTGCCTCTTGGGGAGCAAACCTCACGGCAGGGACAGCTCCCCTGCAGTGGGATGCACAGCACCAGCCCTTCAAGGGTGACGGGAGATGGAGAGAGTCAGCTGCGTTCTCCTTGAGCTCTCGTGACTGGCCAGAAAAGTGAAGTGAAAGAACATGATGGGAACCTGCAAGGTCAAACTTTGCTTCTTATGCTGTCTTCCTGGTTCACAGGCTTTCCTTTTTGTTTTATTTTATCACATTTTTTTTCTCATCAAGATAATGCTTTATTTTCTTGATGAGAAAGATACACCAGTTGAACTTCAGCTTTGTTAACATGAATCATGGAATCATAGAATTATTTAGGCTGGAAAAGATCTCTGAGATCATCAAGTCCAACCTTTGACAAATCACCACCTTGACAGCTAGACCATGGCTCTAAGTGCCACATCCAGTTGTTTCTCGAACACCACCAGGGATAGTAACTCCACCAACTCCCTGGGCAGTCTGTTCCAATGCTTAACAACTCTTTTGATGAAGAAATTCTTCCTAATGTCCATTCTGAACCTGCCCTGGCTTAGCTTGAGGCTATGTCCTTTTGTACTATCACTAGCGTCCTGGGAGAAGAGGCCAACCTCCACCTGGCTACAACCTCCTGTCAGGTAGTTGTAGAGAGCGATAAGGTCTCCCCTGAGCCTCCTTTTCTCAGCTAAACAACCCCAGCTCCCTCTGCCACTCCTAAATAGGATTTACTCTCTAGACCCTTCACCAGCTTCATTGCCCTTCTCTGGACACACTCCAGCACCTCAAATGTCTTTCTGCCCTGGTCCTGCTGGCCACACTATCGCTGGTACAGGCCAGGATGCCATTGGCCTTCTTGGCCACCTGGGCACACGGCTGGCTCATGTTCAGCCACTGTCAACCAGCACCCCCAGGTCCTTTTTTGCTGGGCTGCTTTCCAACCATTCTACTCCAACACTGTAGAGCTGCCTGGGGTTGTTGTGATCGAAGTGCAGTACCCAGCACTTGGCCTTGTTGAATCTAATATCATTGGCCATGGCTCATCAATCCAGCCTGTCCAGATCCCTCTGCAGAGCTTTCCTATCCTCCACATGCAGAAGGCATCTCCTGTCACTCTAACTGAAATTTAAAGCCCTTTAAGGTAACTTGATGCGACTTTCTCATAAGTAAAGGCTCCTGACACTTTAAGATTAGCAGTTGAAAGAAAAAAAATTAAAAGTCTTTTCAAAACCTCCATCTTTAGGTAACAGATAAGTGGCATAAACATTGTGTGCCCAGAACCACAGGCAGTTTTCTGTTAATTGAGGCTGAAGTGCTGAAGTACTTTGAAAACAGAGGTCACCTTTCTCCCAAGCTGCAGAGATGGCTTTGGGGAGGAGCTGTGACCACAGGTGTCCCAGTAGCACAGACTTGCCTGAATGTGCAAGAGTTGGCATGGAATATAAACAGTAGCAAACAGATGGTGTTTTAGGAGGAGAAAACATCCAATTGATCAAATTTATGGCCAGAGGTTGTGCTTACAATTGCAGCTGCAGCCTCACTACTTCCTCCTCAATGTTCCTACCAGCCATGCCACAATAGTTCCAGCCCTCTGAAGACCTTTTCCACAACCTGGTCATTACTACCTCAGGGAAAAAAACCCAAACAGTCCAGCCTGGCATGAACTCTGCCCCCAAGCTACATCTCCAAATGACAGGAGCTGCAAGAGCGGTAAGAAGGAAGAAAATTTGGCTTGAACAGATCTCCTCTAATGAGGAGTCAGTACAGAAGGACATTTATTTGCACCAAAGTGCCAAAGACAATGTAGAAACCTACCCAGCATTTATTTGCAGTGCTAGGAGGAGAACACTGAGGTACCTAGGCTTCCCACAGTTAGTGCCTGTAGGAAGAATAAATGACCACAGTTCAGGAGACATGTCTCATAGTCCCATGATGTACATAGAAAGCTTCAATCAGTCCTTCAATGTCTTGCATTCTTTGAGATCCCTTTCAAAGCCATTAAAAGGCTGTTTAAAACAGAGTTCTTTGCATGACAAATTCCACATACTGCATACACAGACATCATGGTTTCAAAACTCCTAAAAGAATAAATTCACTATATCCCAGTTCATGCTCTGCATATGGCATGATGCTCTCAGCCTAGATGGATGAAATAAAACAATGACTATGTTATATGGTAGGGCTTAGCATGAAGTGGCTATTTTCTACTCTGCCTTCACTGAGGTTCTATCTTTCTAGGATGAAACCTTCATAAATTTTCCATTTGGGGATACTGAGCAGATTTATTCTGACGCCCTTCTCTGGGGAAACTCTGCCGCTTCTGAAAGACGGGACGTGGCTGCAGCACCTGCATGGTCACAGCCCGCTAAGGGGCATTTGTTATCACCCATCCCAACTGAGCTGATTAATCCTCAATAGCAATGGCTTATTTTAATTGTCTGAACTCTGTCAAGGCGGGGCCAAATCCCCTTAGCTCCTCTAATTCTAGGAGTTGGATTTTCAGCTCACTTCATAGGGTTTTTGTCTTTCAGTCTTGCACTATCTTTGTACTAAGTCACATACCACAGGCCATACCTTGGAAAAACCCGTATCTGCAGGTTCCTGTCCTGGACAGGGAAAAAGCTGATCTAACATGGAATATGACTCTACTTTGAAGGTGTCCCTCCGGAAGTCCTTTCCAACCAAAGTGTCTCTGAGATAAAGGCATTACACTGCTTGAATGGGGATAAGCAGAGTCGAAGTTGCATGAAGCTGGGCTGACCCAGAGCATGACCTGTGCACTAAGCATTCCTGGGAGCCTGGAGATGCCTAACTGTGGGCCTGCCTGTCCAGAGATGGTCTCCTTTGGGACTGTTGATACTCAGCAA